TCGAGCCGTGACAGCAGCATCTCGGCGCGCGGCGGCGGCGGCGAAACGGGAATGGACAGCTACCACGCAGCTGTTGGGCGATATGCTGCACAGGGCACTTCAAGAGTTGGCTGACGACTGGGAGATGTCTTCTCCTCATTTCGGACACTGCAAAGCGCTGTTTGGGGTTTTACAGGTTTTTGCAAAGCAGAGCACGGAGGAATTCTTCAAGCACTGTACCAGTCTTGGCAACCCGGGGCGGCGCGACTGGTTGAACTCCCAGGTCTCAGCAGAAACAAACCTCGATCTTGCCTTTGGAATCCTGTCTGCATATGCAAGTGCTTTCGACAAGGAGCCTCCCCAGGAAGAGCCCACCTCAACTTTGGTGGATGCTTGCGTCTTTTTCATTCTTCGCGTTAAAAGCACTAACGCGGAGCTTGAGGAGGCGCTGCAGGACTTCGTTTCCTCGGGAACTGAAGACTCTCGTTTCTTGCTTGCTGAAAGGCTCCGAGATGCCCGCGTATGGGTGCAGGAAGCTAGGGGCATGCTGGCCTCCCCAGGCATGGGCAGAAACAGCGTTTCGGTGACGAAGCTGAGAGAAGCAGTATCCGCATTGGGCGACAAGTGCTCGGCCGCGAGCACGGCTTTGGGCGCTGCGCTGCAGCGCAGAAGCTGAGAGTGAACTCAAGCACCTTTAGACAAGTTCAGGGAAGGCTGGTGCAGCATTTCCCCACCAGCGCCCGGAGCAGCGAAACCCAGCGCAAGGGTTTTGCTGGTTCTGAACAGCAGCCGAAACACAAAAGCCGCACTGGAGGAGCTCCTGCGGACTTTGACCCGACACATGCCCGTGAGCGTGTTCTGCAGCTGCAAGACTTGAAATCTTTTTCGTGATCGCGATGAAGTTTCCCTTCGCTTCTTTCCTACGGCAGCCCCAGAAAGGGCTGCGGCTTCCTTTGCCCCTGTGGGCCGGCCACCAGCTCCGAACTCCCGGGGGCGCTTTGTGGCGCATCTCTACAGTCATGAGGCCCCTGGCTCGTGCTTGCTTTTCCTGGTGATCGTGCGTATCTGCTTGTCCCCGCATTTCCGTGCACTGTCAGCACGGGCCTGGAGATTGCCTCCAGCTGCAAAGGCAGTAGGAAGAAGCTGCACAGACGAGCATTTCGGCAGAAGCTGTCGTGGGACCGTCTGCAAGGAATCCGTGGACTGCTCTTAGCAGCAGCAGAAGGACGCGCTGGGCCGAGCCTGTTTCTTTACGCTGCTCTTTGGGATCTGCAATCGTTTTTGGTGCAACCGAGTCGCTACATTGATGTACCTGCTGGAGGCAGCCCGGCGCTGCTGATATAGCAAGGGCAGCGAGGCGGCCGCGGTCGAAGTACAGCCTAAATGTGAGTTATATGCAGCTTTGTAGACTGACAACAATATGTGGAAGTGACCAGATGAAAATGTGGTGCGGTTTCGTGTACTAGCGTAGCAGACAGCCAATAGTGGTCTTCTTAATACTTGGTTTCCCACGACAAAGTCTTACGGTGTGCTTTTCTGTGTCGTTTTAGCGAGCAAGTGTTCCATAGTGAAGTGTGTCAGGTAGGCCATATCCACATTAAATAGCAGTTCACACAATCAAACTAGGCAGAGACTCTGCCTGGCACGTGATGTAGTCTTATTTGTATCGGTCCGACTTTTGCACGCCTCTCAAGACGAGCCTTCAGCTTCTTTTCGATTTTTCCTTTCGACCGGGTGCTTCTACCACTCGTACCCAAACAGACTGAGTAGACAATTTTCAAGTTCCGCGGGTTCTTTTTATAGACCAAAAGTCGGCGGAAATTAATGCCAAGCGGGCAGAAACGACGGGGCGCGCACACAGACGAGTTTCACCATTGAAATGGCCCCAGCTGCGTCGCATTATCAGATCCTTTCTAAGTTAACTGACGCTGTAGCCCCGGCGGAACTTTTAAATTATGCCTAGAGCAGTATCACGTTACCAGCACAGATGGATGTGCGGCTCGTCTTTAGGTTTTCCTTAGCAGCAGCAATGCTTCGAGGCGAGTGCTTCGCCGCCCCACAGGCCGATCACAATGACTTGGGGCACTATTTATGGGTTTTTGGTGTTAACCAGAAGAAAATCCCACATCTTTCCATGTGCAAGGTGTCAATTAGGATTAGTCATGGTTGAATGTGTGATTGTGGTGGAGTGTTGATGAACGTGTGGGTACGAGTACGTGCAGATATCCACCCATCGTTGAGCTTCTTCAACTCAAATTATGGCACAATTTTTAATTTTAATGCTAAGTAAAACCGCGCTTTACAGTCGTGGAGCTTTAGCAAGCGGGGAACACTGACGCCTCGGCCGAATCGTTCCTGAGCCCGAGGCTCGATCTAGCAACATAGCGTGGGAGCAGGCTGCTCATTCAAGAAACACCGCGTCGCAGTCGAAGCCAAACATCAACTAATTTTTGTAATAGCTTCATGTGAAGCAAGGAATCCTATGTATATGACGCGAGCGACACAGTTGAAATTGAATCCTGAGCTTCCGCTGGTTGGCGCGAGCAATTAAGCGCGGCTGGGGAAGTCAGATCTTTGTTCCTAGAGGCTCGGTGGTGTTGACTGAAACATAGGCAGTGAAAGAGCAACATTACTCAAGATATAGTGGAGCAGGGGTCGCAAATATGATCACCCGACAAGTTCGTGACGTCATTGAGGAGGAGGGGGGAACGGCTTTCCCAGAACCACCGACACTTACACAGCCGCCTCTACAAGGTGTAAGTCCCACACTTCGCAAAAGGCAACCATCCTATATAGCGCTGCGCGGAACCATCTTGGCCCTCGTCGGACTTGGTGTAGTCTTGCTCATTGTTTTATGTGCTCGCCAAATCGGCTCGCGTCGCCTTGCAGACAGACACACTTGGCGGCAGCTTGCCGAATCTTCTTCAGGAGGAAGTCCCTCTGGAGACGGCGAAAAGGGAGACAGTGAACAATGCGAAGCGGCAGCTGCAGGGGGAGTTCGGGAGACGCCAGCTGCTGCTGCAGCTGGAGAGGCGGCAGGCGCCTCGCCCGTTCCAGCTGAAGCCCCAGCGAGTGAAGGGCCCTCCTCAGAGGCAGCGCAGGCCACTGAGACGGCAGCCCCAGAGGCCCCTCCAGAGCCATCTTCTAAGCCAGAGGAGGGCCCTGAAACTTCTGAACCTGCAGTTTTCAAGGCGCCACAAACGTCGCCTCCTAGGAAGCGAAAGGCGAAGACAAAGCATTTGGAGCCGCAAACACCTGAGCCAACATACGAGCCTTGGCGTGAATGGATGACTGGGGAGCCGCCTGTTGCTCCGCCTCAAGTCCAGCCCGTAATGGGAGACTCTCCCCTTGTTCGCCTCTTGACAAGACGGGACCCCGTGATAAAATCAGCACCTCCAGGACAGAGGCCTTCTCCGGACTCGCCCGCAGAAGAGCCACGGGGACCTGCAGCGCCAGCGTCGGCTTTCCCTGGAGAGGACTCGGCAAAGCCTCAGCCGAGTCTTCCTACTCCCCAGGCAGCTGCTGGGGCTGCTGCAGATGCTGCAGGATCGGAGCCCGGGCCTCCCCAGGCGCCTTCTCTGCCCCCAACTCCTCCGTCGCCGGGGTCCGAAGACGATCGGCCTCAAAAAAGAAAAGCAAAAACAAGACACTTAGAGCCGGAGCTCGTTAAACGGCAGCGCAAAGATGCGCCAGCACCTGAACCAGAAGGTCAGCCGCCTGGTGCTGAATTTCCTCACCTTTGGCAGGAGCAGCAAAGTATTCTTCTGCAGCTCTTGACTAGGCCACGCCAGCCCGGCGCCCTGAGCACTATACCAGAAGAGAGGCCCCTAGCAGATTTCCCCCGGTCTCTCACTGGCACGTTGGATCTTCTTGGGTCAGCTCTATCCTTCTTGCCCACTCAAAGGCCAGTGCTGAACTTTCCGACGCCCCGGACAGCCGATGAAAATGCACTGGAAGGCCAATTGTTCAAGTTGGAGGGTCTTAAGGAGGCGCTGGCCGAAGCACTGGAGGAAGCTGAAGAACTTGAAGTTGTAGGCGACGTGGAGTCCGCACTTTCGCTGTCCTGGTTTCTGGAGAAGCTAACGGCTAGACTGGAAGATGAAATGCAGACTGCTGGGCTGCTTCTTACAGAGGGCACTTTGCGCCTGATGCATGAAAAAGCAGCATTAGTTTGGCAATACATGGATTCGCTCAGAGTTGATCTTTCAGATGCACGTGGTTTCATTGATCGCTCTGCTAGAAGTGCCGAGAAAAGGCCACATGTGGAGCCGCCACCCCTCCCAACCCCTCAAAAAGAGGTCGACGTTGGCAAGCGAGTGCTTGTCTTGAAGTTGGCGTTGATGAGGGTGGGAATGGCCCTGAGGGATTACGGGTCTTCGCCTACCCCTCGTGCAAGAAAGACGCTTAGGCGGGTTATGGATATGGCGAGGACTTTGCTTTCTACGACGCATGAGTTTGTGGGCAACCTGACACAAAGAATACAAAGGTCTGCTGCCCAGTGGATTCTCAACTATGCTGAGGTTTTGCAGAGTTTAGCGGCAAGCGCTGAAGAATTGCTCGACAAGGGCCCCGATCCAAAGGATCCCCAACGTTTGTAAAGGCCTAAGACTAGTTCTTGGGCTGGTTCGTCCCTTTTAGTGGAGTCAAAGCAGCGTCCGAGAGACGGCCGTCTGCGGACTCTTTGGTGCACTCGCTGCAATCTTCGGCAGTTGTGTTATGAAAAGCTACGTGAATCGGAAGGTCCTGCAAGTGTCGCTGCAGGGCTCCGTGTAAAAACAAAAATAAACGGCGCCAGCATGGTATTTGGTTGAACATTGAAGGCAGCTTCTGGCCAAGACGCCCAGATTGTCGTGAGCCAGAAACTATTGGGAGTGCTCGTGATCTAAGCACTTGTTACACAGAAGATTCGTCATAGCCTCGATCCCTCTGGAAGCTGAAGACATGGAGTGCCAAAGAGCTGCTGCGGACAATTATTTGCTTATTTGGTCGGGCGAAACGTTGTTTAGCCTCTTCATCTCCGTACACGTAGACGGCCAAGAGAGACAACGCCGGCCCACCGGCCCATTTTTCTGCAGGTGCACAGGTGCACATTAAACTACTTCTATCTTGTTCTTACATACGTGCGAGCATCAATGGATTTCAGAGCCAGCTTTGCATGCACATGCAGCCGCCATTCTGCCAGCTTTCAGGAGCTTTCAAGGAAGCTTGGACAATAGGCAGCGAACCACAGCAGCTGTCCCCGTGGCAATGGTGCTCATTGCATATTCGCATGCAGCAGTAGTTGCTGCTCTTGTTACCGCTGCTCTTGTAATTTCAAACAGGTTTTAATGATTATCAAGGATGCTTACGTGGCTTTGGACGGAGATATGGCTGCGGGGAATAATGCACTATAGGCTCTGCAGTTAAGGGACCCCTGCGGTGTAAATCGCCGTAAAACGAAGCTTGCGGTGGCAGGGACTTCCCCTGTCGCATTAACTTTGTTTTGCACAAGCTTATTCATGCTCACAGTAGCCCCGCTGACTACAGTGTTGCATTCAAGCTTTTTTGGCGCAGTGTGTGCCCTCATGCACGGCGCCCTCACATGAATCTCGAACTGCAGTTTCTCTATTTTTGCTAGCTTTCCAATCGTCGTTCCCCTAGTCATGCTCGTTCACCCATAGGAGCCAGGGCAGGGATTTCGTCTACAGAGTGCTGTGCAGAAATGTTAGGCCATTATCCTCCAGCTGCATTTTATTCTGTGAGCCACAGTTTGGCCCACGAGAGGAGTCGAGGATGTCAGTTGGTGTGTCGGCGCCCCAGTGAGTGCAGCATGGGGTAAGAACAGCACACCACATGCATCGCTTGCCATGGGGACAGCTGCACGCACGTTGCACGCGCGCTGTACAGACACCGTCCAGATTGCTCTAATACGCGTCAAACAGTATCCCTCCTGAATTGTTGTGATATTTTCTTTGCAGAAAAGGTATGCAGGGTCCTCTCTTGGCAGTCTCTGTGGCATCGGGAATTTCACCTGTGCATGCACGCAAGCTGCAGCGCGGAAAAGCACGGATTTTGTTGAGGGTTACCGGGAAGATCAGTGATCAGTCAGTATTTTGAGATGTACGCTACTTGTTTGCTGCAGCGAAAGACTGAGCAACGCATCACATGCTTTCGCCTAAATCCGGATCTGGCGCGTGCATAACAGCATCACACACTCCACGGGGGTCACAGTCCAAATGGTCTTAAATGCGTAGAGATACTTCGAGAGCCACAGAGCAATGCATAGCTTATTGGCCTTCGTCGTTCGCAAAAATATATTGCAGTTTGGGGCTATCGGGCTTTCCTCCGGTGGACGATCGCTCACTGCCCCTCAAATGCACTTCAATGTGAATGAACGCCATCACTGTTTGCAGCAACTTCTGGCGTTAAATGCGAACTTGTTTATTAATTCTATGCGAAATGGAGATATTCAATTGCTCTGCCGGCAAAATATACAGGAGAACCGTGTGGGGCGTGACCTAGTCATTGAGGCATTTGACCCCACCTATACATTCAAATCACACTTCATTCTGCAACACTGAGAAACCCATTTAAGCCTATAACTCCTTATTGTAAGTGCATGCTATGTAAGGGCGAACCTCATGGTACTTCATCTCTGACAGGTACTAGCCCACAGGTAGCACGGGAGTACCACAGAGGGACATTGCACACTGGTCAAGATGTCTGCACCCTCTGCCCTTTAAAAGGATTCCATTCACCCAAGTAGACCACTTTATGTTAAGTGCCACTAATTTGCTATGCGATGAGCTTCGAAAGATTTAGGAAGCACTGATGAGAGACTCTGGCGTTTCGCTGGTACATAAACGCACAGAGTTGCACAATGTGGAAGCCTGCTAGGCTTCTTCCACGTGTGAGCGATAGAGATTCTGGCCTTCTCGGTGTTTCAAAACAATGCTTATTTATTATAGCATCTGAGCAAACAGAAGATTAGGAAGTTTCCGCCTATTTGTTATTACGTCGAAGCATGGCGGCAAGACCCTAGCAGGAACACGGAAGTACTCTGAGGGACCGGGGCCAGAGGAACCTTCCTGGTCACTCCGAAGATTCTTCGGTAGCCTTCGGCAGAGATTTACTAAGCTTCATGTCTAAAGCTCAGCAAAATCAATGGACTGTTTTGTGAATAGAACTATTGAATATACGCGTTGACCACGCAGTTGCAAGGCCCAAACGCGTTCCATCGTGGCAAGCAGGCGGGGCTGATCAGGAACGAGTGCAGTTTTTCCAGTAGATTCACCGCGTCACCTGAAAAGGTGGGAACGAAAACGTTACATTGCTAGAAGAACAGCGGCACAGAGATGTAAGATGGCATCGCCTCAAGCCGCACACTTCAACACGGTGGAGTCGGGGACAGTCTCATTAGACCAACGGGAACGTGCAGAGGCGCTTTTTCAAAATGCGAGGCTAGCACGTAAGAGACGGCAAGCAGTTCACCGAGGACTACGCATATCTATTGTGACACTCGTCGGACTTGCTGCAGTATTGCTCATCCTCACATGTGTTCACCGCATAGGCTTGCGTCGAGTTGCTGGCCGACATGACTGGCGGAGGCTTGCGAACTCTTCTCCGGGAGGCAACCCCTCTGGAGATGGTGAGGAGAAAAATAATGATGAATGCGAACCAATGTTAGAAGGAGCTCAAGCGGTCCCAGCTTCGGAAGAGACTGGACAAGAAACAGGCGGCGGGCCTGTGTTGGGGGAAGAATCATTCTATGAAGAGGCTCCGTCAGGAACTGATGAAGCTCGGATGGAGGAACTTCAAGCGCATGAGCCCATGGAGTTATCTGGGCCTGAGCCAGAGACTGGCGCTGCGGCTCCTGCGCCATCGACTTCCTCGGGAGTCAGGGCCCCACCATCTCCTCCACGAAAAAGGAAAGCAAAAACAAAGCATTTAGAGAAGAGCAGCCCTAGATCTGGAAGCCCACCGAGTTCAGTGCCACAAAATGTTGCAGAGTGCTTACTTGGAGTTGATTACTTTGAAAGCCTTGCGCTTGATATGTCAAATGGGAATCCTGCACATGCGGGAATCGGCAAGCTTGAAGCAATACAGCAGGCTGCAGATAACACTCTGAGCTGCGCTGAAAATGCAGAAGGAGCAGTTAGTCACGATACTATGAGTTCACTCGTAAGGTTGCTGGGTCTACTTTTGGACATGTTCCAGGATGAAATGACGAAGACGAGAATTTTATTAACTGAGACCGATTTAGGCCCGGGAAGGGATGCGCTTCAAGATGTTATGGAAAATTTGAATGAGGCCGACAATGAAATGCGTGCTATAGATCAATTTATTTCAAGCCATTCTCCGTACAGAGAAGGCCTATTTCCAGCAGTACATGACAACGCAGATGCAATGAAAGCCATTGCCATTCATATGGCCTGTCTGGAGTTGGGGGTAAACAGCGCGGAAGCTCTAGCAGACGCATATGAGGAAAAAAGGACAAGTGAATCACGGGAGAGGCTTGAAGAATTTTTGGGTGTGTTCGGTTCCTTTGGAGAGCACCTGAGCGTTTTGCTGCAGTGGATGGATGGCGCTGGTCTGGAGGGCCCCCGGCGAGTGTTAAGCACTTACTCGACAATGTTAGATAAATTCGTCGGTATTGCTAGAGAGAGGCTTCACAATACAAATACGAGCCTTAATGTGTCGCCTCTTGCTTCACCAGTGGGGCCTATGATATCTATAATTCCATTTGATATGCAAGGCTTCACTGTCGCTTCGCCGGCTAGACCTCTACAGGACGCTACTTTGGGATTAAGAAACATGTCTCGTAAACACAGGAGTTCGCCGACCGCTGAGTCACGCGCTCAACTAGAGACGCAGATAACTCTCTGTGAAATCCTAATTGGCGACGCCCAACAACAAGTTTCTCAAGGCCAAATTGCAGATCCTTTACTGCCCGAAGTCGTCGGATGTATTTGTGAGCTTACTGAGGCCATTGGGGAGGTTCGTAACATGTTGGAAAGATCTTAAAGCTGAATATATGGAAAGCCACTACGGGAAGTGGTTTGGGGGATGGGACAGATCGGGATTCGGCCAGCTTATCTGTGCAAGCAAGTGATTGGCCAGAGTCACAAAAACCGACGCATGCCAGTTGTCTGCGCATGTTCCTTTTATAGCATATGTTTCGCCTCTGAAGACGTGGGCAACAATGGACTGTTTTACGAGCTCTGCATGCAAACGCTGGCGACCCTTTCTGTCACCAGCCATCCCAAGCTGTGAAGAGGGCTTGGGCAGGGCGCAATGAACAGCAATAGATGCAGCACCTGCTGCAGCAACGCTCTCAGCAGGAGTCACTTTCATTGTCAACATTGACAGTTTTATATGATAACTGAATGGGTAAATTTGACGGCAATGAGCCGGCTCCTGAGAGGAAAATGTTGAGAGCTTTAGACGCTTTTAGCAGCCAGAGCATGAGTTTAATTAGCAGAAAACGTTCCCATGCTGCAACAACGTTTGCCAATGTGCACATACGCTTTTTTGCAGCATCCTGTCCTTTTGCTTAACTAGAGGTGAAGAATGCAGAATGTGAAGTGTGAGTTGCTATCAAGTTGAAAAAGTAGCATTCAAGTTTCGCCTGCTGCGGATGCAGCTATAAGCAGCGAGTTTTACGGGATGGCCGCATTCTAAGGCGGCCGCCGCGCAAAAATTACCGGCGAGCTCTGCTGCAATATCTCCAATACCAAGAGCACTTGTATGTGCGGAGGGTACAGCACCGATATTTCCCACACTAGCGGAAGCAAGAAGGACAGCTGGATAGCCCAAAAGAGTGTGCCGGGAACATCCAGAGCTAGGTATCGAATCATTGAGAAGAGCTGCGGGGGGGACTCCTTCTTACTTTATTTCAGGTGAGAACAACAGAACCCCTAAGAACGTCATCGTGCAGAACACGTTTCGGATACATTGATTGGTGGATTCACATATAGATGCTCAAAAAATTTTTGTGCTGGCCCAGAGTAAAGTAACGAAGATGGCCTCTCCAGCTTCTCTAAGCCGTGTCTTCTGCATCGAAATTCAAAAGTAACAAGCCAACTGCCTCGCCATGACCTTGCTGGAGCTGAGGCTTTTGTTTCGACCTCCACCACTAATTTGGATGTTGGCTATGCATCCCAAAGCAGCATGACGAATTACAGTTTTTTGTGGTACCTCTGCAAAAGGGAACAACTATTTTCCTTTCATCAGTAACTAGTAAAAGGCGCATAAATTCCAGTTGTAGATCTTTGAAATTACTTCCCCTGATAATGATTCTACAAACCGGAGTAGCTTAGCACATTGTCGCTTGAGCGAGAGCTTCTCAACCACACTAAAAAGTTAGGAAGCGGGTGGCAGCAGTTTGAGCCCAGCTAAAGAATTTTGTGCTCATCAGGGCTAATGGCAGAAGTTCAACATGAGGCCTTTCATCTGGTTAACATCCCGGAATGCCGTGAAACGAGCGCCCACGTAGCCTGGACCTAGTGTACTATGTCCTAGAAACCCTCACCGCAGTCTAAATCATGTTGAATATATATAGGGTTTAGCATATTTCAAGGTCCAGCGAATCATTGCAGTTGTTGTATGTAGTTAGTGACGAACTACTGGCGTTGTCCCTACCTCTTTATAAAAGCAAGAAAGTCTTTCGGGTGAATTCCTTGTTGATCTTGGGCAACGATGTAGCTAGCAGTCTTTTTTGGAGAGGTTGCGGGCGTCCTTAGCTGCATGGTAGTTTCGGATGGGGTTGATGCGGTTGACCCTTCCGTGCCTCACAGAGCCTTTGCCTTGCTCACAGAAGTGCTTATATCGGGCTTGAAAAGACGCTGAAACGTATTTAGACAAGTGTAGTAAAAGGCGAGCGCAGTAAGTTGAGGTTGCGACCTGAAGAATCGTGCAGCCGTAGCGTATAGAATCCACGCTAAAAGCGGCTGCCAAAAAAGTCAGACAGCCAAAGAAAAACTATAAAAACAAACATTTGCGTTTTTCCCAATGATCGTCCAGAAAAATGTGCTTTCTCTCTCGAGGGTCGCTCGCTCGCAGTCCCCTCGACGCACGGGAGGGATCCGAGTGATCAAGCACATCATTTCTGTTGGCTGCACCTGCCAGCATCTAATACAAACTAGTATATTTTCTATTCAAATGCGGCTAGTTAACTGCTCTGCTGATGAACCATTTGGAAAACGTGCGCGGTCCATGATCTTCACTTACTGCAGTGTCCGAGCTCGCCTTCGCTGCGAATTCCGTAGCCTTCACTTACATGAAAAATTGAGAAACGCCGTATTTACATGAATTCAGAATTACGAATAAGCGCCGTCTTTAGGTAAAATTGCAGCTGCTACCATTTTGGGCTGCGCGCTGGCCCGCACGGAGTGCACGGCAAGGAAGGAATGCTGCACACAGAAGTCGATAGGGGCCACACACTTCTGAAGTACAAGAGAAGGCAGTTCAGTTCGTGTAAAGTATCACTAGTACTCTATTCAAAGACTTTCAAAGGATATGACGAATATCAATGCAGCAGAGTGGTGTTGTGGGGTTTCACAACTAAGACCCTAGGTAGCAAGGAGTTGCCCCCCCTCAAGTGCTGAATGCCTGCTGAAACACTTTCAGATGTGCAACCTTCACAGTTTGGTTCTATTATTACCATGAAATAATGATTACTGATCAAGGTGTGCGACACAGGTGGACTTAGCGGAGTTTTCGCGCATTTGTCGCTGGCGACCAGGTAAAGAGAGCAGATACGGTGAAACGCTCAGAGCGACAGCAGCCAGCAGAGGCAAGAAGCTGTCTTGACTGCTGTAAAGACTATTACGCGCCTTTTTAGGAATAATTACTATTTATCTGGCTCAAACTTGTTGGGGCAGTGGAATTTTTTGTTTGTGCAGGTAGTGGTGTTCGTTCATCGCGATTAGGCGAGTGCGAGCCCCAAGCACCCTGTGGCTAAGGCAACCCGGCGGGGCTGGTCAGGCACTGGTGCAGATTTTAGTGGCTTGGCCACGCCATCTAATATATGAAGAGTATAAAAGTTGCACTGTTGAAGGCATGGTGAAGTGGGAAAATGTAAAATGATGTCCCCTCAAGCTGGAGCTCTCGACACGGTGGAATGGAGGACAGTTACGGAAGACGCGCCTCTACAAGATCTTAGGACAGTACCAAGAAAAAGGCGTGGAACTCACCGAGTGCTGCGCGTGCCCCTCGTGGCGCTCGTCGGACTTGCTGTAGCGCTGTCCATTTTCTCATCTGCTCGCCTTGTCGGCTTACAGCGGTCTGTAGGAGTGCATGCCTGGTGGCGGCTGAGAGAACTTGTCTTGAAAGGATATTTTTCTGAAGAAGGCGAGGCAAAAGCGGGCAATCAGCGCCAAACAGCGCCACCAGCGGGGCCTCGGAAGATCCCAAGCACGGCAAACACTAGAGGAGAAGAGAGCAGTGGTCGCCTGCAGCAGAAACCCCCAAAGGATGTACAGCTTTCTCCAGAGGCTGAGAAAAGCAAGAAGGAGGAAGTTCCATCGGCTGAGCCAACGCCAACGTCTGCGTTAGCGACTGGCCCTGCGGAGCCTGTGCCATCGACCTCCTCGGGTCCTGTAGCCTTACCATCCGCTCCACGAGCAGAAGAAGAAAAAAAGCAATTAGAGCGAATGCCGTCTACCTCTGGAACTTCACCGAGCTCAGCAGCACAAACAGGAGCTCCAGTGGTTATACTGGGGAAGGAGTTGATTGACGCGCTTGCGCATGAGATGGCAGGCAGCGTGCCTGTGGTTGCCCAAATGAAGAAAGTGGATGCTGTTAAGGTGGCCTCAAGTAACGCATTGTACTATGCTAGACTAGCGAAACCGAATGCAAGTAAGAGCACAATGGATTCATTCGCCCGTCTGCTGCACGACTTGTCACAGAGGTTCACGAATGAATCAAATACGGCGTCAGCGCTACTAGCTAGCCCTGATGTGAATCTCGAACAAGACGCCATTCAACAAAAACTGAACGAGTTGTTTTCGGCAAGGAACGAAATGTCTCCTGTATATGAGTTCCTTAAATCTTGTGCGAAGGGGGCGGGACAGCCAGTTCCAGAGTCGTCTTTGAGCTCGAGCATGCAGGAAAACGTCCTCAACCACATAACATTCCTGCAGTTGGCGCTTGACAATGCAGAGTCCCTTTTGGAAGAATTCATAGAAAGTCATTCAGGTGCTTCACGGGACAAGCTTCAAGGAGCTGTCGAAATGATGAGTTCTGTTGAAGAACAGACGGGCTTGTTGTTGCAGTGGCTGCTCGAAAATAATCAGGAGGCTGCCACAGAAGTGATACATTCGTATGAGGATGACGCAAAAAGCTTTGTGAAATACGCCAGAGATACACTGGCGCGTGAATCGGAGACCTCTGAATCCTCAGAATTACCTCTTGAGCCTAGAGCTCCATCTCCTACAGAAAGGTTTACGTCTGATCACGTGGTTATTCAGTCACTGCTGGAATCGACTGCTGCATTAAGGAAGACGCTAAGCGAATCCGCGGGCAATGTAAGTGTTGGGGTCCGCTCGCAACTGGAGGCGCAGATAAGTGATGGCACAGCCTTAATTGAAGACGCTCAGCAGGCCATTACTGAATCAGACATCGCGCAGCACCTCGTAGCTGAAGTCATCCAATGTATCTGTGGTCTCGCTGATGCCATTGACGATGCCCGTAAGACGTTGGAGAAATCTAAAACTTGACTGTATGAAGGGCCACTGTGGTAAATGGCTTCGGGGGTGAACCAGATTGGAGTCGGCTAGCTTATCTGTGCAGACAAATGGTTGGCCAGAGTCACGAAAATCGACGCGCGCCAAGTTGCCTGCGCCTGCTCCCTCAAGTACTTCTGTTTCGCTCCTGAAGACGTTGGCTGCAATGGGCTGCTTCACTAGCTCTGCATGCACACGCATGCGACGCTTTTTTGTCACCAGCCTTCCCAAGCTGTAAATAGATTTTGGGCAGGGCGCAGTGAATAGCAGTAGTTGCAGCCGCAGTTGTACCACCCGTTGTAGTAAGGCAGTCTGTAGAAGCTACTTCAATTGCAGATTTTGGTACTTTCATATAATAGGTGAATAAACACATGTGCCGACAGAGAAATGGCTACTGCGGACAAAACGTCGGAAGCTGTGCACTTTGCGTAGCAAGCAAAACACGAAAAAACGTTGAAGATTGTCGTGTTGCGATCGCGTCGAAGTATTTAGGCCGCAGAGGCTCCTTTAGTGCAGTCGTTGAAGTGTCAGTTTGTGTCAAGTAGCAAAGGCAGCATTCAAGTCCCGTCTACCACGGGAGCAGCGAGAAGCAGCTCATTTTGCATAAGAGCTGTGTAAAATGTGGCATGGAATTCTGATGCATCACCGCCACTGCCAAGAACACCTGTATGGTGAGCACGACGGCGGTATTTGTGACACCAGTGGAGGCAAGAAGGACAGCTCGAAAGTCCAAAACAGCCTTTGGGAGTATTTAGGGATGGATCTCAAATCATTGACAGGAGCTTGGGGAGGGATCTTGTTCAAGCTGGTTCAGCTGAGAGCAACTAACAGCATCATGCACAAGTGCATGTCGGACGCAGTGAGTGGCGAATTCGTATAAACGTTTGAAGACTTCCATAGCAGCTCAGTCTGGCATGTAAACACTTTGATGTCGGTGGCCAAGAACAGCATATGCTACAGGCGCAGTAATGCCCCCTACGCCTGCGGCATATGCTGTTCTTGATCAACAATAGCTGTTCTTGATAAACAATAGCAGCAAGACTCCCAAGCAAAAATGCACTTTATTCGGGTGGGTGCCTAAAGGATCTCCGCAGCGCCAAAGCGCCCACAACATCTGTAACGGGACTAACAACGACTCTAAGAAATATATCATGAAGAGGAATGAAGAGGAAGCAGGGGAGTTAGTTACTCGGTACCGGCTCCAGCGACCAGAAGGCGGACACACCTTGTCCGAAGCTCAATGCAGAGAATTGGCTTACCGATCAGTGGCAGCCGTAGATGAAGTTCGGAGAAGAGCCAGATAAAAAGGCTGCTGAGACTGGGGCAACATAATCCACAAAACAAAAGAAGGCGGGTCCAACGCTAAGGGAGGCTCAGCAAAGCTGGAGGGTACTTGGTCTCACGAGTGCAAGGGTGGCACCTGCGAAAAGAAGAGGGACGCTGTGTTGCAACAAGCTATGCTTGACAATGCGAGCTTATCGAGGAAGCATAACAAAGCAGCTCGGAACGTATATAAACAGCAAAAACAGTGGTAGGTGGGAAGCACGACAGACGAAAGGCGTCTAGCTACGTTTTTTGAGGTAGTGGTCGTGTGAGCCCTATGCTCAAATTCCTTGATTGTATCGGCGAATCGGAAGGCACCCCAGAGGACGCTTGTGGGAAACTGAGCAGCAGCTGTAGAAGCGAAGCACATGTTGAACTACCGTGCAGAGTAGCATACGAGACAGACTCAGCACTACTGAGCCTTTCCCTGCGCGAACAGGCTGATAGTTGTACAGTATGGCGTAAACACAGTCGTGGCCCTATTCACGTCTAGCCTGCACGCTGCTCCGAAGTACGTGCAGGCATCAGTGGATCGTGAAAACAGCGCCTCTCGCACCTGAACCAGCCAGCCATCTGCGAGCAGCCACCATGAATTTTAGAGAGCGCTTGTGTGACAACTGCTGCACCTACAGCAAATATGCCTGATACAGCAAGGAATGCGGGACGACACAGGCCTAATGCAACCACCATGTTCCTCATGACCAGTGGACGACCGCAACGGGCAACGAAGATTCGACTGCTGAGAAGAAGTGCCGCAAGATTACCGGCAGCCTAGAGATGGAATAGCGTTCGGAGAAGACAGAAACCAGCCGTTTCCCAGCAGTTCGTACACTTTATCTTGGATATCAGTACTTGCCGATGTACATGGCCTTTGCCGACTGCTGCAGTGCTGTGCTTGAGCGCTATTCGCACGGTAAAAGCGGACTGGGGGTCTCATTTACTCTATCCAGGCTTGTTCCTTAGAGCAGCGAAGATAGTAACCAAATCCACAGCAAATCCGGCTCCCTCTGTCCATTGTATGTGCTCAGCGTCGTGAAGCTTGTGAACCATCGCAACGTTCTTAGAGTTGAAGATAAATAAACGATAGCTAATGGGGTTAGACCTTTCCGTCACCCAAGCTAGTGTTAGCCGGAAATTCCGCGACCTAGACAGCTCCGGTGGGACGCTAATGACATCGCCACGCGAAATTGCGTGAAGGCCTCCGACGTGCAGTTTGTGAACTGCTTCTTCCTGTGATGACCGTTGACAGAATAGTGATAAGCTTTTCATTGTCCTGCACTACATTTCAGAAGTCAAAAATTTTCCCGATTAACATCGCCTTTTAATTGCGAAGGACTAGTTGCGTGCTGTCAGCCGATAGCGCTAAGCACATACATTTTAAAGGCACTAATGTTCGGGCAGATAGGCTTACCCTTGCAAGTTGGCACGCGCGAGTGACACCCTAGACAATAACAGTCTTACTGGTGGCATTATCCGCAGTACAAGGCAACTGCTAAGGGGCGCTAGCGTACCAATGACTACGAGCGACAAAGAGTCAGAAACACCACCAGCAAGACCAAATCACGTCCAGAACAAAGCAGCAAAAATTGAACAAAAAACTGAAAAGCGAGCAACGGCGATCTGAAGTCCAGACACACGAGCTTTGACAGTCCCGATCCACCTAATGAAACACTTTTCAAAACCCTTCACGTCCCCTCGTTTAAATGATGAGGTACAGACCCACGCAGCCTGCCACCTCCATCTACGAGGAGGAACAATGTGAACACGTCCTCTGAATAGTTATCGTGACAGGCCGTTTGTCTGATTATACAACGAGGCAGTCAGAGGCCCACTGCTGAGTGCGCTAAGCCTCTACGCCTGCTGCATCTGCTGTCCTTGATCAACAGAGGCGGCAACTGGCCCAATCGGCAAGTGCTGCACTTCATCAGGGTCGCTGCTCACAAGAAACTCTCCGTAACGACGACGCCTCTTGGGCTGTCGTCCGTTGCGCAGATGCGCCTGCTCCTGATTCTGGGGTATCCCCCCACTTTCGACCGCTTGGGGCCCACGTCCAACGCCCCACGATCCGCTAGCCGTTCCAGTAGACCCCAGCGATGCAGCAGGTGCTGTTGCAGTCGCGAGGCCATCAACATACGCACTTTCAATCTGTGGCATTGCTGCAGCAGTGGCGGGAACTCCATGTACTCCAGAAGCCGTGTGAGGCTGCATATCTGGGAGGCGAGACTTGCGGACTGCTTTTGCAATGCCTCGGCATACCCACCTCAGCCACTGACACGCCAAAGCATGCGCTCTCTGCTCTCCCAGAATTGCGCACGAGAAACGCTTTTGGAGGAGTTGCTGGCGAACGGAGTCAAACGCTGTTGCGACGTAACAGCCTGAGTTGCTTTCCATGTACACCCGAGGAACCACGACGGTACAAACTGTCATAGCGGAACTATTTCCCTTTGCTTGCGTTTCCCTTGCGGCCTGCAAATACTGACAGGCATCAAAGCAGTCCTGCGGCTCCGACTCAAGTGTCCTTGGTGTACTAGTTGCAGTGAACTGCTGCACTGCTGCTCCTACTGCTGTAGCAGCTGCTGCCCTTGGCAAATCAGCGTCTGCCAAATCTACAGAAGTTTCGTTGTCTTCCCCGGAGTCGGCGGAAGCCTGCGCCTGAGAATCGTGTGAGTGCCCAACGACAGAAGGGGTCACCCCCGCCCCCGCAGCAGCTGTTCCTTTCGCTGCGGGTGCTGCTGGCGTTGCACCTGCGAGTGACACTGCTACTGTTTCTGGTGATGCGGCTGCCGTATCAAACCCAGTACAAGCGGCCCACGTGACATCCGCTCCGGCGGTTTGCTTCAGCTCAGTAGACGCCGCGGCCCTTTCAACAAAAGCGCCCAGCCTACGGTGCTGTTGTGGCTGGTGTTGTTGCTGCTGAGTGTGATCAGCATGCTGCTGCTGCAACTGCGTCAGCTTCTGCTGTAAGCGTGCAAGTGGCTGCACATAACTTCTCCCAGAAGTATTGCTGGGCCAGCAGCAAGATGCCCCCAAAAAACGCACTATGTCTAACAGGTTGTTACTGCGGCTGCTGCTGCGTGAAGCTGGCGGTCTGATGAAGTAATGGCCACTCCGTGTGCGCCGTAGGGAGGCGGCACTCCCCAAGCTGCCGTTGCTGCCGTTTGGATTAGGACCAGCATTAGCAGCAACCATATCTGCATCTGCATCAGCCGCCATAGCAACGCTGTCGTCGATTAGCTTGATGCGACGTGGGTCTGCAACAGCAGCTGCTGCAATTGCTGAAGCAACTGATCCGAGCCCCCCCGGCGCATCTTTAGCGCCATCTGCAGGCAGCAATAAGTACCGCAGTTGCCCTTTAGGCAAAGTGAACGATGCAAATGGAAGCCCAGTTGCATTACGCTGATGCTGGAGGCGCAGATCTCCGTAAACTCGAGTGCAGCAGCGGCACCATTGCGTCCACCCGTCTAGTCCTAGTGAAGCAGCGGCTGCTGCGGCTGCTGCTAAGGGGCAACCAGACTCCGTATTTCCTGCCCTTAAACTGCTTACTGCTGGAGGCCTTAGCGGGAGCCCGCAGTAGCAGCAAAGAGGGACCAATCCTCCGCTGCGTGTAGCTGCACCATACCCGCCAAAGCTACAACTTGTGCTGCCTTTTGGCCAAGGTGTGCCCGCTGTTGTTGCTGCTGTTTCTGCGGAGTCTCGCATGTCTTCCGCTTCCCACGCGGCTTGCTGAGAGGCGAAGATTGCAGACCGGGACGGGGAAGCGGGGCGGATACGGCAGAGGCTAGGGGGAAATTCGGCTTCCACAGAGGACTCAAACCACGAGGGGCACACAGAAATGCCATCCCACAGCCCCTTCCTTTTCTGCTGCGCAGCGACGACTGGACTCCCCGCACGCTGCTGCTGTTGCCTCTGTTGCCTGTCTCGCCTAGCTGCTGCGGTTGCATATACCTCAAGAACACTACGCATGCCGCCTCCAGTACTTCTGGTTGCACAGCCCAAGGATCCTTGTGCAGAACTGCCGCTGCTACTTGCCGTGCCATTGCAGTTGGCGGTACATGAGACGCAACTGGCACCGCAACAGCAACAGGGGGTGCTACTGTTTATGTCGAGCCACTCTGCGAGGCACGTTGTTCTTTCATCGGCTTGGGGACCGGCCTGTCGATGATGCTGGCCGACTACATAGCTCTGCAAAAGCTGACGATGCGGCTGCCGCATACGTCTCCTCCCGCCAGCGGCGCTGTTAGCCGGCCCTGCGGCGCCGATGCCGCCTCCTGTGCCTGCAGTCATCACCCCTGGAGCAGAGCCTGCTGCTACTGCTGCAGTTCCGCCAAGAGCAACTTCACTCCCAGTGGAACAGTTACCTCCAGGTCCAGGGGTCTGCGCCTTCACTGAATTCGCTAACAGAGCTTGGCGGAGCGACCGACGCAGACCACGATAGTCCAGAGCGGCGGTGGGAGTTGCAGAGGCAGTAGCAGCGGCCTCCTCTGTTGCCGTTGCAGCCGATATCGCCTGAGTTGTTGCGCATACTGCTCCTGCAGCGCTTGCGTGAGCAGCCAGATGCCGAATGCCTCGGTTACCCGTGCTATCCTCAGATGCTGCTGGTGTTGCTGCTCCAGCAGCTTCTCCAGCTGACCGTGAAGAAACTTTCAAGCTTCGCCCTCTACTTGAAGGAGAGATTCCGCTGTTGAAGGCCGGTGGGTGAGAGGAAATAATGCTACACCTGCTGTTGCGAGGGGTTTCGCCGGAGTCTGCATTTGTCTCAGTTGCGTCGCGCTGGTGATCTACAGCGCTAGCAACAGAACTAGATCGCATAGATTTCGTACGCATCCCGTAGCCCCGGGACGTAATTGATGTCTGCCTGCCAGTTGCCTGTCGAGCTGCCGCCGATCGAGTAGCTGCCCCGCGACCTGTTTGGGTAAAAGGGAATTCCCCGGAGGACTCGCTACCCAATCCAGCCTTTGCCGGAGCCAAGAGCAACGGTTGTGCTGAGTATGAGGAAGCAGCAGAAGCTACGTCGCCGGCACCCTCACCCGCAGACGCACAGGGTGCCGCACTAGGCGTCAGTGCTGCATCTGTGGAGTCACTTGATCCTTCCAGCTGACTCACAATCATGGCGTCTGACGCTGAAGGGACTGCAGCCGTCGCAATAGCTGCCATGGAGGATCAGAAAGGAAGAGAACTGTTTGCGCCACTTCCCCTGTGCGACGTTGGGAAGGTCTGTTTGCCTCTTAAATCTGCGGCGGGTTGACTGGTCCAGAGACATCTCATGTGAAGCCTGGTACGAAGCTTTTTCTTTGGAAGCCCACAAAAGAAAGAGTGGTAAGCGAAGAGCCATCACAGAGAAAAGCCGCTACACCGTGGCGAGCTTCGCGAGCAGAACAGGGGCATACCAATAGTATGGTACGAATGCTGGGCTGCATGACCCAAAAACTGAAACTCCATACGATGTGGCTGCGTAAGAAATGGCCATCACTGCATTTAGAAACCCCAACGCTAGCACATCCGCCACAGCAACGCCACCCGGCACTAGACTGCGAAAGTTCCGAACAACACCAGACAAGTTACCATGTTCTGGAGCCGAAAGAGCCGTTGGGTGCAATAAGCCTCCACAGGCATTACTGATGGCGCATACCCTCGAATGGGCTTATAATTGCCAACTGTAGGGAAACCAGGCGCGTAAAACGCCGATTGCACCTGGGTGCTTCCTGTATCACTGTGCAGTGGCCCTTTGGTAGTGGTACACCCTCTCATGTGTTTGTATCTACTAGTTTTGTGTCATGTAAGGTCGAATCCCTGATTGAGCAACTAATATTTCCCTAGCCAAGAGAAGCTGAATAGTTGGCAGAACAGCTGCTGGAAGCAGTAAGAAAACTGCCGAGCCAGGAGCCTCAGTGTTCGTTGCCTGTCAGGTTCTGCCGACGCAGCAGTATGTCCGTCCTCGATTAACTTAAGAATACTAAAATTGTTTTATAGGAACCCTTTCAGGGCAAGTGGACCCTACGGTTACCTCGAACTGATAATAGTGCTAGAGGCCTAAAGGCGTACTGCAGACCACAGCTAAGGCTCACCCTAGCCGCTACACTGGGGCAGCACGCCTTCAATTTGCCTAAAATGCACTACAGTAGGTAGAAGAAGCTTTGCGGGGAATCACAAGGAAAGGGAACGGCCTACAATGCCACAGGCACGACAAGGGCAAGTGGATACAAGCTGCGTGGCAAGTGGGGTCAGCGATGCGGCTGTAATTCTACTGGGGTGAAGAAGTGGGTTCATTCGGGTTATACGTGGCGAGGTTTGACAGTGCTTATGTTGAAAGAACGGACTGCAGCACACAGAGCCTCGGCCAAATTGGGTACATTTTCGTTGTAGTGAACAAACCAGGCATCCTTTCTAAGACGTATCTCGTTAGGGGGCAGCAGATGGAGGAGTGGACGTCCCTAACAAGAAAACATGACAAGGGCGTTCCTAGGATTTGCTTCTCTCAGATGCAGTAATGCCGGCTGGACGCTCAGTAACGCCACAAATAACATAACAATGTCGGTCAGACACCCAGTAGCGCGCAAACAACATTTTTTACAGATTGACCACAGCTTGTATCCAGTTGCCGAAAAACTGCGGTTCGATTTTCTGAACGGAAGCACGAACATGCACCAGAAATATGCCGCAGTTGCCCCTTTAACTGCGTGGTGTATTCCCCGCTCTCACAGAAGGTCCGTGCCCAAACCACGCTAACAAAAACAGACCTCTTTTGGATCCATTAGGGTTTACAGCAGAAAGTTACGAATAAACTCGCGGGTGCTTTCTATGGCTTCAGTTTTGTTTTCTTTTTCCTTCGCCTTCCCGTGTCGTGCAAATAAATAAGGAACCAGTCGTTTTTGCCTGCGACACTTCTCATTGCTTCCAGTGGACACTCAAGCACATTTAAGAGTCCTTTTGATAGTCGGCAAGAGGATAGGGCAAGACAGCCTTTAGAGCAATGGATCACTAAAGCAGATGTTCAGTAAGTTGATTTCCAAAGGAAACATAGAGAGCCCAGGAGACTGCAGATTTTGTACTGACCATCCAACGGCTTGCGGTGAATGCTTCTCGAACTCCACAAGTGAGCGATCTTCTTCCGGAGTCGTGGCAACTGGTGTGGGGAGAACAGTACGTCTTCAGTATGAACCTCTGCATTATTACCGCTGAGCGGCTGCCGTGGGCAAGAGTGACACCAAGTCATACATTCCGTCTCTCATCCCCAGCAACAGAGCTTCTTTCAGCACTTCCATTGCACCGTCAAATAGGCGATTCAGTAGGAGCTGACTGCGAGCCATCAGCCTGGCTGAACTGCAAGACCACCAGCCCTGCAGCTTGTCAAACTTGTGAAGCGTCCCATGCTGGAAGGACACTAACTCTCAATTTGAGCGCTGGGAGGTTTCCTACCTCAGAGTTTAAAACAACAGTTAGCAATCAGTGACCACCGCTTTCAGCTTTAGCTAGATAATCTGCGCAAAGTTTCTGGTCCTCCAGTCTTTCTGTTTGTTGAAGACCCTGGAAAGGCAACAATCCTGCTAGGTATCACTCTGATTTATAGTCTTGGATTGACCTGTCGAGAGCGAAAGCAAACTTTTACTTTTTTGATTGCTTCTTTCTTTAGGGCAATAACATGAAGCCTCTGTGGACGCTCTCCGAGCGCGCCAGCGGTGTACAGCAACATATGCAAGTATCAGCTGTGTGCAGCAACACACAAAGTGTAGCTCGTACTCCAGCACTCGCATATAGGCGCTTCACTGCTGATACTATCCTCTTTGGACAGCCTGACTGTGGTACACCGCGTTGTCTGCAGCGACAACGATGCTACGTGGCCCAAGACGTGGGCACTCTATGAAATTATCTCTACTATCGACACATCTGTCGTGTGCATGGGCACTTCACTGACACGCGCTTGAGCTAATTAGTTCACAAGCCACGTCAGGAGTTTAATACATTGAATTAACATCACGGAAATTGCTAGCATAAAACTGTTACGGTGATAAGGGTACCTCATATTGCCAACACTTTACTTGGAGGCTGTTACACTTTGCCGCAAAGCTGCACTCTTCCCACAGGAAGGGCCGCGTACCAGCAAGAAGATATTTGAGTTTCTCATTACAGCCAATTCAGGGCAGCCGCTGAACTTGAGAGGCTACAGTATGCATCCTTGATTAAAATCCCCTCCAAACTGTAGAAAGCCCATTGCTGTTCGCCAAACGGCTTGTGATGACCAAAGCTGAGGTGTAACACTGCATAACTGGCTTCCGGCTTCAAAGCTTACTGAAGGCCTCCTGAACACAAAGACCTTTTGAGGTGTTTATTAAGTTGTGTAGGGTTACTTGAATGAATAGTTTATGATGAAAAGCTGTTGGGCTAAACAGCCCGCAGTCTTATTGGGACCCTCCACACCGTCAAAGAACGTGCAACAAGTATATGGCCTCTTTATTTTTCTTGCTCTTATATGTTCCAACAGTGATATGGAACTCCCTGAAGGGTCGTAAACACATTCTTAATCTTCATTTATAAAACCACTTCTAGGCCTTCAAGTGAGTGCCATCTGCTGCATTTGCATTGTTAGCTTAAAGCTCGCATTCTCATTATCTGGACATTTTGGCCTAATGCATTGAGCATATCTATGTTCCTAGTACATAAAAGCCTATACCTGTAGCGACTCGGGCTCGGTCTGCCCTTTCTAGTAGGAGGGTCCTGTCCTCCTCCAGTGTTGCGACCCCTTGTAGGTCGCTAGCTAGCTATCTTCTATAGGTCACCAGCAAGCTCTATTGTAGTGCCTGTGCACTACAGGAACCGCGCGAGTGGGGAAATGCACTTATTGACCACCTTGTGGACCCGGCGCCAACGTTTTGGATCCATCTACGGAGAATTATCGACCTAAGCGACTGGGCGACAGTACAGCGCAGGCTTTTGGAGCGGTTTGACAACACAATGTCGCAGAGTCAATTGTTAACGGAGTTGGCTAAAGTACGGTGGAATGGTAACCCGAAGGAATACACGGACCGGTTTGCGGCTATAGCGGAGCGTGGTTTCGGTGTTGCCCCCGAAGAACTCGCTGACTATTACTGCACCGGGCTACCGACAGACCTCCATCTTCTAATAACCAATAACGGACAGATGAATTATCAGTCGTGAGAACAAGCGGCGAGAGCCGCAGCACGGCTCTATGAGCCCAAGCAGAGTGTGCTGGAACTCCGATAAAGGACCAGTCGAGCCATTAGGGCTGCTATCCAAGCCAGTGGACCCCGTGGGCGCCAGGAAGTTGAAAATCGACTTGGAGGAACCCACGCAAACTGCTTTGAGTGTCAGGGTCGCGGACATCCGGCACTTATCTGCCCCAGCAAAGGGGAACGTACCAAACGTCCGGCGGAAATATGCAAGAAGTGTGGCAGTGTGGGACACTATGCTCGGGACTGTCCTACGTATGAACGAGGCCGGCCCGAGCCGGCGGACAACAGCAGGAGGGAGCCCACCCGTCATAGCACTGAGAAGACGGAATGATTAAACGTGCGGGCGTAGGCGTGGTTGGAGACGAGCGTTCTAGGCCGCGTAGCCATGGCAAAGGGATGGTATGTGCGGTGGCGACAGGCCCTAATGCCATTCCAGTCTCCCTTGAGTGGGAAAATCAACTCCTCAGCACTGCGGAAAGAACTAATACGAGCGATCGGTTAGCGGAAGGGACTCAGCCGCTTTCGGAAACGCGGTGGGAGTCTGGGTCGGCGTCGATCCTGAGTGAAGAGGCTCCGGAAGCGACGACGGATAGCAGCAGGAAGTCTGCAGAGGCAACACAAGACGGCTATAGGTCAGACACGACAGAGATTTTGCGACACTGGTGGAGGGAGACTTGCACGAAAGAGTCTTACGACCAAGGGGGAGCGTTGTGTTATGTGGGTGCGACGGCGGTACTTCGCGTTGAGCTCGCAGGGAGTCCTTGTGAGGCCCTCTTGGACACTGGGGCTTCGAGAAGTTTCATTAGCTCTAAAACAGTCGAACGACTGCAGCTGAAGGTGCGGAAACTTCCAAAAGAGCATAGGTTCACCGCAGCTATAGGTGAACAACTACGCATTGATCGGGTTGTGACGGGATTGACGATGTGGTGCGGACATGCACGTTTTTCCGGGGACTTTTTAGTGGGA